CATCCCCCCTCCCCTCCCTCTCTTCCCCCAGTGTGGCAGGCCTGCCCCTCAATCATCAGGCCCTCCTTTTCACCTTCTCTTTCTCCCAGCTCCACATGCTAAGTGGGAACATTGTTACGGTCAATTTGTCCCATTCAGGGTCCCAGTGGGCAGTGTCCCTGCCCTGACAGCCTGCAGACAGAGACCACACTGCCTGAGAGGCCTTGACATCAAGGTCCAGAGGAGACAGAGAGGGGGAGGAGGGAAGAAAGTGAAGGAGAGTAAGGGAGGGGGGGTGTGAAACAGGAGAAGAGAGGTAATGAGGGGGAGCAAGCGGTGTGGAGGCAGAATGTGCGGAGGAAAACAAGCAGGAGGGATTGCTGAGGAGAAAGAATGACAAAAAAAAAGAAAAAGAGGCTGGGGTGCCAGGTTTAACACAAGGCCCCAGACTCGGCAGCTCAATAGTATTTCCTACCAGTCTGTAAGTCTCGGGCCAGAATGATGTAGATGACGACAGCTCTGCACCCACAGAGGACACTTCTAATACAACTGCCTTAGTTTGGCCTAAACCCAGAGAAATACAAGACAGACTGGACAGGCTCAGGAGAGGCTAAAGGAAACACAGGTGTTCATGCACATATATTTGGTCTAATATTGAAATGTAATTAGAATCAAATGCTTACCCTTAGGACTAATGCCAATGAGAAACTTCAGCCAAAAGGGACATTAAAAGGGTTTATTCACTCCTGCGCTTACCTCTAGAAGTATGCACAGTTTTTATTGGAAATACTGTTTGATGAAAACTGTTGACAGCGTGTTGGTTATTAACAGTAATAGGGGCACTTTTTTTTCTTAAAAGACATGCTACATTTAAATCTTGAAAAGACATTTTTATGGCTATGAGTACCAGACATAAAATTTCATTCATCTCCACTGTATTGGGGTGGACGGAGATATCACATAGACTCCTTAAATCAGATCTTCATGATTACATATTGTACCACTAGATACAGTAAGTGAAAGTATGGTTTTCGAAACTGACCTTTTAACTTAAGTCTCATACAAAGCAGCAAGTAAAACAACACTGACTGCAAAGTGGACTTTAAGGGCTACTCGAGCAGTTGTATAGCAACTTAATAAAGTTGGAGAGACAGAGTAAGATAAAATCACAGCAGCGGAGGCCAAGATGTCCTGACTTTTAGTCCACAGTAAACTCCAAAAATGCTGTATCCTACTTTTCACATAATGCAACTCAATATCGTCTTTCCTTAGATACCCCCTGCCTCTTAAATGACCCCCTCTTTTCCACACCCTCAGATTCCATCACAGGCTTTCTACTACAAAATAACCTTAATGTGCTAAATTGGTGGTGTGTCCCTTTAAGTGTTGGTACCGGAGAAAAGAGAAAGTAAAGAGAAGGGTTAATAAAGGTATTTCTGAGGAGAAAACCCTGGCTTTAATGTTGAATCCAGGTTTCTACATATGTTCTGCAATCAGATTCTGTGACAGAAAAAAAGCCCATTAATGAGGTAAAACAGTATATCCTCACTTTGGCCGGAACTTGTCTGGCAAATTAAGCTTTGCCTGACCAATCTATGATTTTAATGTCTACGCTGGAGCTGCCCCGGGCCCCCACAGGTGACGTAACCCCCAGCAGGGTGTAGCGGGTTGGTGGGGGGAGAGGGATTAAGTCATTGTGTAAAGACACCTGTTATTTTAGCACATAGGCGCAACACTTGCTCCGAGGCAAGGGGTGCAGAGCGGCTGTTGGCGTCAGAAACGAGGCACAAACAGGGCGCCCATTCAACCAATGCTGGACAGTGCTGAATCACACTTGTATAGGGCACAGACAGACTGACTCACACACATGCGCGCAGACACACACACACACACACACACACACACACACACACACACACACACACACACACACACACACACACACACACACACACACAAAGTCCATACAAGACAGGAAGGCAAACAGACACAATGTGATCAACAATGTCCCTTATGTTTCTCTCTGATAGACATGGGCAAACTCTCACTCCGTCTTTCTCTCTCTTCTTAATGACCCACACACTGACACAATAACACGCACACACAAACAATTCTTCAGACTAATTGGTGATGTAGACTGCGCAGTAAAGACAGCAGGGATCTGTCAAGGGCATGTGTGTACATTGGGATGTTGCAGATCTCCCCAAATTAACTAACTTTATAATAAATCACTGGGCACTGCTAGCCAAGGATTAGCCATGCTCCAGTGAGCAGTTTGTTAAGCTGTGAGGAGAAGCACTGGGGATGAAAAAAACATGGCCAAAAACTGACATCAGCACTGGGACCTTCGAATGGTACAAACCCCCTGCCTGGTTTCCTAGGCACACATTCAGCCTTGTTATCGGAGTTCTCCATTGACATAAAATCCTGCTCCTATATTAGGCTTTGACTTGGAACTATTGCTTTTTTTCCTGTTGGGATTTCTCCACTAATCACTTTTAGTGTTCAGGACTTCAGCTCTAACATCAGGTACACTGTTCCTTCGATTTCTTTCCTTATGTTTGCCTTACATGTCTGTGCAATCTTGCCCCCTACTGAGTCATTTCTTTTGGCAGGAGTATTGCTTCCTACAGTCTGGTTATTTATATACTGACTGAGAAAACATTTATCCCCCCTCCCTTGCCTGCAAAATGAAATTAAACTCTTTTAAAGGAAGTTTATTATAAAATCATTCAATATCATCAAAACAGAAGTAGGTTTATGAAGCTATTACAAAGCTAAACCTTGACAAAAAAGGCTGATAACTCTTTAGTGCTCACAGTAAATGGACTGCACTTACATGGCGCCTTTCTAGTCTTTCTATCACTCAAAGCTTTACATTATGTCACATTCACCCATTCATACACTGACGGCAGAGGCTGCCACGCAATGCGTTAACTGCTCATCAGAAAAAAACAAATCCCATTCACACACCGATGGCAGAGCATTGTGAGCAGTTTAAGATTCGGTATCTTGCCCAAGGACACTTCGACATGCAGTGGGAGGAGCCGGGGATCAAATCACCAACCTTCTGATGTGCTAGCGCTCTCACTCCTGAGCCACAGCTGCCTCACAACTGTAAAATGAACAGTATATGCATCACATACTGTAAGGTCTATCTCTTGATCATTTTATTTTGAGTAGATGTTATCTCAAAACTTTCCAACAATGACTTGAAACACCAGCAAATGCCGATATTCTTCTATTCTCAACTCCCACAAAGTGTTTTGTCCTTGACTTCTAAGCAAATGAAAATTAGATCCGGTTCAATGAGAAGATCTGAGATGCTATCAGACAGGTATTTCCTCTGTTGTCTATTAATTCGTTCCCTCTGATAGCATTTCTCTTGTAATTACAGCTGGCGCAATGGGCCTACAACAGGATGTCAGCACATGAGAGAAAAGGGGGCACCACTCCTCCTCTGTCACCCAAAAGAAGCTGCAACACTCAGATGATTAGACAATATTTAGTTTATAATCATCTTGCCTTTCGTATTTCATCTTAACTTCTTCCCATTTACCACCTACTGTATCTCCCTTGTTTGCACTGCTGTTACTGTAAAAGAAAAAAGAGGTCTGAAACCTAGTCTGGTGCAGTACATCATTCCCTGATGTAGCATCTGAGCAGCAGGGAGGAAGGATCTATGTGTAACCTGCAGCAGCACCCCTGAGCCCCCGGCTGTCAGAGTGGGTGACAGCCCAGAGGAAGAGGAATTAAAGAGGCTCTTGTCCTCCAAGGCTGATTGACACAGTCAGAGCGACAGAAAGGTTAGTGGAGGTGCCGGTATTCCCTTTGCTGAGTCTACCCTTGCACTGGACAAGAATGACTGTCTCACTTTCTTTAGATGTGTCTTTCTCTCTCTCTTCTATCCCCTCACACACACACACAGTAGGGCTCATTATAGGAATGCTCTGACCCTTAGGGACTTCACTTACTTCTCTGTCTCTCTTTCCAGTCCACAAACCTCGGCGTTGGACAAAAGGCAGCTGAAAGGCAATTTGAATTTGAAACAGGGGCCACAACAAAAAAACATGTAGCTCCCAAAACGGTGAAACTTAAGGAGACTTGGAGCCAGCTATCGAGGTTGAGCTGTCCTTGCACAAAAAGCTAAAAATGTGATCCCGACACTATCCAGCCAACTAGCTGAATGTACTGTAAAGATAGCATCTACTGCAGAGGGAGAGGGAGGGATGGCAGAGCCTGAAGGAGGGAGTAGTGGACACCAGGGGCCCAGCGGGTAGGACTGTAAAACATACACAACTGCCAGCAGATAACATACAATCACACACCATACAAACAACAAGCACTCACAAACAGCGAGAAAGACACAGAGAGAAGGGCACCTTTTAATCAATCCCCTGGAGAAGACACATGCAGTCTCTGTTCCCACAGTTCTGCAACTCACTGGATTTGAAAATTAGGTTTTCTAGTTATGATTTAAATCAACCGTAATGTCAAAAAGGGGAGAAATTCTTCTTGACACAGCAAAGGAAAGTCCCAGATTTTTCAGATGAAACAGTTCCAAGAGGAAAACCTGTTTAATTAAGGTGGGTGACACTGTGACAGTACCAAAGCTGTAAAGTAACAAATGATCATGGTCCGTACATGAACTGTCAGCCATTTTCAATCACACGATCGGAGTCGTGTCAATATCCAATCAATAGATGGATGGTGAAGTGCCTCTTCGGGCTCCACAAAGCTGCTTGTTTTCTGCGTGGCTGCGAGCTACGCAGTATGAAATTGAGAATTATACAATGAAACCTACTGTAAAACCAAGATGCCAAAGATTACAGATCAGCTATTGTGTATCGATTTAGTTCGCTGAACCAATTCCCCCACAATTAAATTCCTTCATGTTGTCAGAGGCAATGCAATTTATCCAAAGCATCAAGGCGCGACAGAGCCTGTGCCCCCGGAGCGCACCAACACCACCACCCACCACCCACCAGAGACCTCCACACCGGACAGTTCGGGTCACTTACCTCTGGTTATCGGAGGGGAAAGGTGCCGCCGAGGCAACGACAGTATGAGTCGATTGTGAGTCCCGCTGGATACAAAAAAAAATCCGAGAGTGAGATCAGAGGAGAGAGGAGGCTCGTTAGTGCGTTTCCCAGATCCTGTATAGGGCTTTGTAAACTACTCCTCCCTGTCGCACCTGTCTCTGGCAAAAACTGATTCCGTACGCCGGCCTGACATCCCTAAGACAACTGTCTCAGGGGTTGTGTGTCCGTGCCCCCCTGCTAGTTTCAACACAGACACACACAAACGGCACCACCTGTCCCCGGTGCAAAACAGCCCACAAAGAGCTTCTATGTCGCGCAACGACACATGGCATTCCCCGTTAGTCTCTGCAGCAATACTCCCTCACACAGACAGCCGTCCGAGATCCCCAAGTAATCTGGAAACGCTGGAAGCAGTGAATGATGAAAAGGAGAACGCAATAACAACCCATCCGGCACACCACCGGCACAAAACCAACTGCAACGTTTGGAAATTACATCTGCCGCTCGTTGCTCGCCCAGTTGTGTTATCAATCTTCCGTCCCCACAATAGTTGGTCTATTTCGCCGCTGCGCACGACTGCTGCTCTGTCATTGCTGCGTCTTTTCCACCCCGGGTTTAACTGAAAGAAAAGACTGTCCTTCTGCCTGTGTGTGTGCGCCCCGCTTCCACGCAGAGTCAGACTCGGGATCCGGCGCAAAGTACCATTCATCGGTTTATTAGAAACAGTTCCTGTTCCCTGAGCTCCACTCGGGAGCTTTTTGGTAAGGTGGGAGGACCACGGCGTTTGTCTTCTAGCGGTTGTGTGAGCTACAGCATCTCCAGCACTGCTCCCCGCTGTCATCCACAAGAGACTCCTAAAGCCCTGTTAGTGCCAAAACCTGAAGCAGAATAGCGCAGCGACTGGAATGGAATTGATTAATGACTAATTGGGTTTAATTCTAGAGCCGTCAAATCCCTAAAAAAAAACACCTCATGAACATCAAAGTCAAGCTCATTGCGGCAAACACTTGCGCACTGTGTGTCAACTAAATGTCACGGTGGCAAAATGAGAAGCTGAGAAGACGGCTGAGGCACCGGGGGCGCACACCAGAGAGAGAGCACTGTTCTTGGGTTAACTTTATTCCAAGAAGCTTAAAATACAAACAGTACACGGTTTAGAAAAAAGGTCTGAGCTCGTACACTTGCGGTGCTGACGTTCAAATCAAATCACAAGGCAGATTCAAAGGAGTTTCTCGATAAAAGTGAGCATTTATTGCTGTGGAAATGTGGTAAGTACCTGAGAGAGAGAGAGAGAGTCGCTAGGAGGGCAGACAGTGACCTCCGAGCGAGGTGATGATAAATCATGATCAAAGACAAGCAACTGTCTTATCAAGATGCAGAATATTTCATTTTATTTATGTGTGTTACATTTTGTTGCGGTTCACTTAAAAACATATGAGCAAATTTAAGTATTTTTAAAGCAGCTTTAGAGTGAACAGTCACAATAAATATTAATAGGAAATAGGACAACCACTCAGTGGAGCAATTTGTCCATTTGCATCTACTTTTGTTATTTGATGTCATAGATTCAGCATAAATATTTTACAGGACACTTTAGTTAGAACAATTCGTTTTAATTACAGTCCCTGAAAGTCCAATTTACTGAACTCAATGAACTTGAAAACTGTTTCCATCCCTTTAAGTTTAAGGTCTTTCTGCATCGTCTCATTGAGCCTAAATTAACACAACAGAGGAATAATTTAGTCTAATTAAATCTCAATAAGCCTCCAGCCAAATGTAATAGTTGCTTTATTTCACTTTGGGGTTTGAAATCGGTGTTAAATCAGCTGCGTTTTTAGTGACACTCTACATCCTCATGCTGACCTTAAACAGGAATTTCAAAGGCTTGTGAAGGACTTAATGTCAAAATTACTACATGGAAAAGTATTTACAGCACTGTCAATGGATAAAGCCGGTGTTGTGTTATATGTGTAAAGGAGTTAACACCTAGTGGACCTCTCCATGAAACTGCTGGGAGCCAATGTCACTTTTAAGCTTTGATTCATGCATAATTAATTCGCAGAAATAATGACTTCTATAGGCTTGAGGGCTCATGCGTGTTGCTTACCAACTTAATAAATCTACTCGCAGCCATCTGACAGCCTTTCTGATACAATCTGCTAGTGCTGCCAAATCAGCTGATCATCTTTGGGAGAAATATGCAAAAAAAAAAAATAAAAAATCCCCTGCTATTAGACTACTGAATATAAATTAGCTTAAGGTTATTCAAGATTCAAATCCACAAACATATTTTTGGATAAGATACTGCTACATTATATAAATGTCTTTAAATAATATATTTTGGAAGCTGTTTCGAAAGAAATGCCAGCAGGCTCTTAAAGGCACGTTCCTTTTTTTAATCCACTGACATTTTGTGGAGCTTATAATATGGCCTACTCTTGTCTGACATTGATATTATTGTAGGACACTGTTTTGGTTTGCTTGTTGTTTACTGTTTTGTTTTTGGTCTTATCTTCCTTTACACAGCCAAAATGTGCCTGCACCAGCACTGTAATGCTTATTAACATTATTCATCCTGCTTACCTTATCATCCCATGCTGCCTGTGACTTTGTAGCCTCCACAATTAAAACTTAAAAAGAAAAGTGTCCTTTGTCCAGAGGAGACATGCTGAAAGTCTTTGTACAGGCTGACTGTGGTAACAACAGACATTGCTCTGACAGCAGTTTCAATTTTCAGGTAGAAATAATTTCACCAACAGTGGAATAATGATGGGTTCTCCCTACATTCTTGATTTATGTCCCTCTATTGCTGTCACATACAAACCAGCATGCTTGTGTCTCTCTAATAGTCTAAACCAAGGTGTCTTTTCATAACATGCTGTCAAGGGCAAGCTAGGTTCAAGTGTCTGGGATAAGAGAGCCATAATACACACTGTGAAATGTGTTAAGTCGGTGAAATTATATAAAAACGTCCATCAATACAACAATATCTATCTGTTACCTAAAATGAAGTGTGAAGATGGGTCTGGCTATGTGAGACTAAACGTTAGCTAACATAAAGCACCATGCTGGTCATACCAGACTGAGGTTGTGTCGACAAAACACAAAGTGTATTTGAGCAAAAATGTGTTTTATTACCTATAAATTCCACTTTTCCTTTAAAGGAGGAACAAAGTTTTTAAGTACCTATTTTTCACTTACTGTATTCACTGTATTAAGTAGAAAAGCTCTGATAAACCCACTGTACATTACCTGCCTCAAACAGCAAACGGACACAGTTAGCAACTAGTTTGCATCTAGAGAGCCTGACATTTCCTTCAGGAGTTGGTGGAGAACAAAGACAGAGCTAAAAGGAGGGAATATTGGACTTACGACTTGTTCACACCGCCTACCTGAGCAGCTTTTTATTTCACCGCCATGTAAACAGATTAGGAACAGTCACGTTGCCCGCTGCCCGCTCCCCCCAGCAGAAATACACAGTGGAAGGGGTCTGTTCATAGTCATATCGACAATATACCAGCAACATAAACACCTTTCACTACACTTTCAATGTCTATATCTGTAGAATGTGTCACAGACATGGACAAAAATATTAATGTATTTTTTTAACTCAACACTTCCTGTAGCTGTTTCAGAATAAAAGCTCTCTGGTGTTTCTGTGGACAGAATCATATGTTATTCATATGTTAACAAGGCTTTTATTGTATGGAACTTATCAAAGTCAAACTCAGTAGGGCTGACAGCACGCAGCTGACACACTGTCGTTGTAAACACAGCACTCGTGCCAGATGAAGCTGTAGCCGTCACTCGCTGTTCAGGTAGGCAGTGTGAACCAAGTGTTACATCAGCTGGCCAGATACACAACTCCAATTAAATGCTAATATGCTCCTGTCTGCCTGATGTGTCAATTGGCAACTGCAAGGTCCCTTGATTAACATTTACGATGATCTATTGGCAGAAATTGAATACAATTTTCATAGGTCATGTTTTCAGTGTATAATCACCTGAATATAGTTGTCTTGTGTAATTGTTGTGTTTTTGTTACCGTAGAATGAACCGTTTTTTATCTACAGACGCTGCTGGTCGCCTTCCATGGAGTCCGCCATGTTTCTACAGTAGCCCAGAAGGGACAAACCAGACACATTTCCAGGAGATTTGTGTCCAGCGTAGCCTCTCAGACACACTTCACAGCCTGTTCTCATTCCCAGATTGTCAAATACAGACGCGAGCAGTGTTCAGTTGGTTGCAATCTGCAGTTTAACCGCCAGATGCCTTTAAATTCTAAATACTGGTCCTTTAACTTAAAAGATGATACAATATTCTTTACAGATTGTTTCTGTTGCCCCCAAGTAGCCAAAAAAATCTGTTATCGCATGTTTAAGTATATATTTGAAACACTGCACTGTTAATCAATACATACAACGAGGACTTCCACAGCCACTCTCAGTGTACGTACTGTAGCTACTGCCGACGTCTCTATTGTAATATTGAACAGCTCTCCAAAACGTTTTTATTTTTAAATCCCCTGATTACCTTTATTATTCTGTTTCCAGCTGCTTTGCATAGAAATGATTCAGGACACAGAAACTTTGAGCCACGTTGATTCAACAAAAGAATTTATGCCATGTTATCTCCTGTCAAAGTTTGTGTGCCGACAATAAATAAATAAATATTTGTTTTGTTCATCTGTTTTCCTTTCATCCCACTCGGTCTGTCAGAGCAGGCAGGCAGTAGACCTGAGCCAGATAAAAAGGAGAAGAGCTGCCATGAGAAAGCGAGAAGCTTAGCAACAGAACTACAACCTTTGATGGAGGATGCACTTTTTAATCTTTCAGCAGCGTGGGGAAAAGGGGAAGGGCAGCACAGCCGTCCTCCCCCCTGAGGTGGGCTACAGTAAGAAAGAAGGAGAGGAGAATGGTGTGTCTGTGTTAGTAGGATGAACTCTTTGCAGCAGGAGCTTTTGTCCTCTAACTTCCAAGTCAGCAGAAATATGAATGCAAAATATAGATGCCTCAGTCTCCAGTGTGACCATTTTCCATCCCACCAAAGTAATCACATGGTTCACCAAGCTGCGAACAAAGACTTGCAGGCTGTGCGCAGGGCTCATGTGATCAGATACAGGAACTTCACAGGCTCAGTCACTATGACGACTCAACTTAGCAAATGGAGCCATTTAATAAGTGGTTTCATTACTAGCTTTAAGACGACAAATTCATTAATATTAACAAACCCATAAAACATTTAAAGCACTAAATAAATCAGTTTGAAATTAAATTGGATTCAAGTGGGATATTTGACTTACACTGGTTGAGAGTGAAACAGTGACAGTGAAACTGAGTGCTGTAATTTGTAAATGACAATCTTGTACAACCTGAAATGTTAAAACAGTGAGTTGTAAACCTGTTTACGTTTCATATTCTGTATGAAATTACAATTTTATTACATGCAGTTTTCCTTAATGTTGATGAGATTAAAATATGTTTACCTTCTGAATTAAGAACATTATTATCATTGTCTGCTATGAAGGTCTCCATCAACTCAAGGACTGACATTAAAAAACAAGTTTGATACGACAAAGTCTAAAATGACAGTAGTTGGATGACTTGACCAAGGTGTTTTTGCCCTGTGTAGACCTGTGTGTTAGGTGATCTGACCACAAGTGGACATCTCTAATTTTTCCATTTTGTAGCTTTAACTTTGCTTGATTGCTGGAACCATTCACAACCCTTTCTCTGAAACATAAACAGTTTTTTTTGGCTTTTAAAGGTTCAGCGTGTAACATTTAGGAGGCTCTATTGGCAGAAAAGGAATATTATAACTGCCATTGTAAAATTGTTACACACGTCCTTCAACTCCTATATTTGTTATTGTATAAACTTCATTCAAACTTTGATCAATTGCTAGTCGAACAATATTACTTCTCTCATTCATTCTTTGAATATACTGTATATATACTTTCTTTCACACTCTGGAATCTGGAATTGTACAAGAATGTCCATTTCATGTCCGCCAGC